AAACTGTATAATGCTCAATGTCATATGTGCTTAATTAAAAGCCTTGATAAGGAAAAGAGAAAACTGAAAATAAATATTCGTTGTTTAAAATTAATGCTACTTTCATTATAAGTCTACGGACGAAGCACAACAAAGTTTGCTTTATATATATATATATATATATATATATATATATATATATATATATATATATATATATATACCACAAAAAACTAGGAGAGATAAAAAGCAAGGAAAGAATGTTGGGGGGGGAATTCTTCGCGGCGTATAATTGACACAAACGACTCTGTAAGCCAAGCAGAAGGTGCTTGTGAGACTGGACTGTAATGGGCGAAAGGTAGACGCTAGTTTTCGACACACCCATATCAGTCATCTCGTCGATCTCAGGTTTAGTAGGGCGGGCCCCAAAGCACGAAATGACTAGTTGAAAAAAGGTCATTGCTATCAAGTTAAATGATAAAACTGCTTCTACGATAATTATTATTTCGGGGAGGTGTCACAGCTCATCTGGTTTCACACCTCGCTCTAAATCAGGGGCCCCAAACTTCTTTGATTGGCGATACTTTCATGGAATCCTTAATCCTCAATCGACACACAACTAAATTAATAAAATTGTTTTGCTTTTTTTTAAGGATAGACATTAATTTGTACTTTTCATTTATGATTGTTTTCGTTTTTCATTTTTTTATCTTCCTACACCAGACGTATTTAAAGCACTTTGAATTGGCGTAATAGTTAGCAAGCTTGTCTTACTAGATCAATTATAACAAAGTATTGAATTCGATCCTCACTGGGTGCTTCATACGTTCGGCCTCGTTCTAAGTTACGCGCCGCAACGTACTCATATTTGATTGAGTGCTCACCAGTGACGACAAGTGGATCCTGTATGACACTCCTAAGCATACCAGACATTGGTTGTCCCCACAAGGACTTACACCACAATATTACCTCTACACCCATGCAAGATCATTATCTGTATCTGGTGGACTAATCGACAAGTGGTGCACTATAATGCTAATCTATCACTGTTGGCCTGTCCTCGCAGATGTTGGAATGTGTACAACAGGCACCGAAGCAGAAGGAGCCAGCATTGGTTAATCGCAAGGGTGTACTGATCCTCCATGATAATGCCAGGCTTCATCCGGCGCTGTTGGCCAAGTATAACATACGGCGACTTGGCTGGGAAACACTGTGCCATCCACCCTATTCTCCGGCTTTCCACCTCTTCCATTCCCCGAACAACTACCTTCATGGAAAATCCTTCGCAACGGAGGAAGACTTGCGACAGACACTCACAGACTTCTCTACGACCTGAATTTTACCGCCAGAGCATTGTGTAACAAGATGCATATTGCCAAAAGGTGTTGGATGTTGATGGGGATTATTTTGAAGATTAACGGTATGTCAAATTTGCTGTATACCTTTTGTTTTTCTAATAAATCAGAAGCGGCAAGCACTTTTTTGGTTACCTTTTAACAACAATAATAATAGGCGAACATCTTTTGCGATTTTGAAGTCACATCTAGGTGTTTGGGAACATCTTTAATCGGACTGGGTTGCCCAACTTTAAGATATTTCTAACTGGGCTTCACTTGCTAGGCTACGCGCCGCTCTTATCAAAAGCTGTTACCATACCAAGCACATTAGTCTGTGACGTACGTTTTCATTTCGAACGTTAGAGTCTATACCACCGAGTTTAAAATCCCACATTGAAACAAATGTGAATAAAGCCTAGTATCGCATTACTTTAGAAGTTTGTGCTGCTTGGCACTGCAGATATTCTGAGAAAGGTGTCATCTGTCTGAGGTCGTTTGACGATAGAGGATGGTGATACTGCAAGATCTCCGGTTGAAAACGAAAAATCGTCCGGAAGAAGAAAGTATAATAATAATAATAAGACGTAATAACAATAATAGACATGAGCAGTGGAACGAGAACAGTTTACCCCAGTAGATTAAATAAAGTGTTCAGTTCAGAATTCCCTGTAGGTAACTCAGATCGAAATACACCTTTAGGAAGGCCGGAGGCCACAATAACGGAAACGTTGTGATAACAACAACAAAGATGACGAGAATAATCCGAATATAAATAGTGTAAATATTTCTTTCTTTCTGTTAATACCATGTCCCACAAGGACGTAGCCGACTCTAATTCCCCGTGAATTGTCATGCATTTTTGAGAATGATAGTGGAATAGATTCATTGTTATTTTCTTCACAATTCTAAGTTCAAATTATTCCTTCTCAAAGATTTACCATCTATGGCTAAAGAGCTCAGTCTACCCTGTTATTTAATCCATAGATTGCTGGAGAAAGAGATGGATCCATGCACTTTCGAAAAACATTATAGTGAAAGTGAGTTTGGATCGCCGATTCCATTTTCCGCACTGATATCTGTTACACTACCTGCAAACATCATTTAATAATAATTTAGGATGCGCAGGTAAATCATTACTGTTTAATGTAGTCCTGGGTATGACGATAAACTACATCCAGCAGCAAGGCCTCTGATCAGGTTATTGGAGGTTTTGAGGAGCGTGGAGACACTTCTTAATTGTAGCTGTTCTGACTCAGAGTTGTAGCACCTGTTAAGATCCCAGATATGGGCAAATAGTTAACATCCAAACAAAAGCAAAACACCATGGAAGTATAAAAGTACATTTTTATAGTAAAAATACCAGGAATATATTTTTATATAAAAATATTACCAACAATACATATTTATAGTAGAATATCCAACAATACATTTTATAGCAAAATGACCAATAATCCATTCTATCTGTAGTTAAAGGCATACAACTGCGTTCAAAATATATTTAGTTAAAGCCATAAAATTGTGTTCGAAATATTTGGATTTCGGCATTAAATAACCCATAGAGACTGATATGCCGCTGAACAAAATCAACCAACATCCGTTTAATAACAACAAGTCCCATCTTCACTGAGCGCTTCATATTCGTATCCTTGTACCAAACTAAGCTAATATTAGAAAATAACAACATATTAAAGTGTGGTTATATCAGGTTGTTACTCACGAAGAATATCTTTTGTCACGAGTCCGTTTGGAATTCTTAAATCAGTAGAATTCCCTGTCTTCCGGTTGAGTGGCACGTGATCCCAAAAGCCTTCACTTATTTATTATTATTTACTTCATTTTCTTTTATGTCTACTTGTGAACAGAAGGCAAATACTTTGAGGTCCCTTTGAGGACTTTACTCTTGGTCATAAAACACCGGTCGATTCTGGCTCCGATAAAACCATTTAACGTTCAATTTACTATATGGTTGTCCTGATCAATTGAGAACATACAACCGCGGCCCTTCGTCAGGTTTTCACCGAATGGACAGCTTCATTCCACAATGTGTTTCGATTCATGTTTACATCGATATGAGTAAAACCTGGGGAAAAACCTAGTGTACATTCAACAAATGAAAAGAAGGTGAAATATATCGCCACGCCGTGAAAAGAAAACATGAATTTTCTTTCCAGTACATAGGTTTCTTTATTCATGGATTCATTAAGCACGATGTAGGGGTGGAGTTTCAGGTAAACGACATTTGGTACATCTTCAATCACGACAGACCAACGGACCAGATCTTCCCTTCGGCCAGCGGGATCTCTAACTCCGACTCTACATTTCTCTCTCTCTCTCTCTCTCTCTCTCTCTCTCTCTCTCTCTCTCTCTCTCTCTCTCTCTCTCCTCATCACGCTGACTGCCTGTAACTCCACCGAGAACTTCTTACTATGGTCCCTCCGATAAATATATTACTGGCCACTTCTACCATTTGTCCATTTCCGTTTCACGATGCGCGGCTTATCCAACAACGGACGGCTTCTTTCTGAGGTACCAGAATTCACTTCTTTCCGATAGAGTGGCTCTTGATCCTGAAAGTTTTTAAGATTTTACTTGTATATTTTAGTGCTTGATACTAAGGAGGCGGCTCGGATTGAGGAATCGTTAGAGTCGAGTTCGAATTCCAGTCGAATCTATTACATTTATTTACGTGCTAATACCCTTACGAAAGGTATGAATCCTCTTCTTCTCCCACCAGCTATGGGTAAATAGCAGGACAGACTGGGTTCTGTAGCCTTGGGTGGCGACTGGTCTACCGCAGAAAGAAGTGGCAACCTACTGCAGGAAAAAAAATCTGACTAGTCATATATCGAAAGGTACACGATCGCCTAAGCGTATATCACGCATGGCACATAGCTGACAGGATATGAAACACCAGCCGCTTTAGGCTCAGATAAAATATATTTAATATGTGTATGTCGTAATCACGACCCGATCCAATTTTGTCACACAATATCAGCTTGTTAACTATTACTTCACGACAAGCAGCTTTTGTTAGATGATTAAGGAAAAGTGTTGCGGCTCAACTGATAAAGATAACAATTTCAAAATTAACTATTTCGTGTTTCAATTAAAAACATCCTCGACTTGAACACGTTTGACACCTATTGTCAACAATGTGCTTGTAAATTACAGGAAGCCCCGTTTATCATATAAATTTTAAAGATCTGTCAATACTACTGAGATGATGTATTGTAACTATTTACACTATTTTTATCGTTCGGAGTGTTGTCATCATCTTTATTGTCATATTCACGACGTTTCGGCCGTTGTACGCTTCGGCCTTCGTCACATGGCCCAATGGATAAAAGCGTTGGTTGAAGTAATTCAAAAAGTGACTTGAGCCAAAGAGTTGGCAAGTCAATACCTGGCCACAGCGGAAGAAACAATAAATTGAAGAGTTAAATCACTAAAAGGAATTAACTGAAACTGAGGTATCCAGAAAAGACATGGCACGTGGAACTAGATACAATCTACCCCGTGGACTAAATGAAGGATTCCAACGTATAATAGATAGATAGATAGATAGATAGATAGATAGATAGATAGATAGATAGATAGATAATGTATATAAGGATAAATCAGAAAGTAAAGGAAATTTGTAAAAACAACAAGGAGGTGTTGAAGCGCGACAACACGCGTTCGCATGGGTTGACGAGTAGCTAGCGGCGCGCAGGAGTCCACCAAGTTGCAGGGAGTAACGAGGTCAGACGTATGGAAGCTCCACTCAGCGATGACTCCATCGGGGAACAATGCGCCGTACTACGCTTTGTGGTGGTAGAAGGAATCAAATCTGCGCAAATCCAGCGCCAGATATTGGCGCTGTATGGAGCAGGATCAACAGACGGTACACTTTAAATCGGGAAGAATGAAAGTGAAAAGGACGAAGGTTGATCTGGTCAGCCATCAACATCGGCCACGGAAAAACACATCCAGAAGTTGGATGCTTTGATCAGGGAAAACCAACGAATCACATTAGCATAAGTGGCGGCATCTTGAGTATCAATTATGACACAAGCTATAGCTCATGATAATTTCAATTTCCCCCTCTCTCTCTCTCTATATATATATATATATATATATATATATATATATATATATATATATATGAATAAAAAATGACAATAGGAAAACTGGTAATTGCTGACGTGTTTCGTCCAATGTGGACTTTATCAAAGCAAAATACGAAAAAAAATAAATAAATAAATATTGTCTTCTCTACTGGTTAAATCGGAGAAATTTTCATATATATATATATATATATATATATATATATATATATATATATATATATATATATATATATATATATATACCAAAGTTTGAGGCCACTCCTGGTATTTTTTTAAATTGGGCCCCAAAGTATTTTGTACTTTAAATAAGAGAAAATTATTATACATGGTTTTAAAAAAGTGAGGCATGTTTTTTTTATTAGAAATTTTATTATGACAAAAAGTTAAAAAGCATTTTATGATTAAATTTTTTCTATCGTCAAAATATCCTCCTTTAGTCTTGATTACTGCAGCAGAAATTTTTGGCCCAAATATTTCAAAGTTTCTATTCCTTTTCAATGACGCTAAGAGCTCTTTTTCATTTTTTTTTTTTTTTTTCATCTGTCAAGTTCATCCCTGGGATTGATTTCAAACTATATATATATATATATATATATATATATATATATATATATATATATATATATATATATATATATAACACGACATTTCAGTGTTGATTTATATGTCCACAGTAGTCGACACTCTTTTCTTATATATTTAGTAAAATTGAAAGAGAGATCTCATAAAACATTTTCTCGTTCACTTTTCCTTAATTTTATATACGACTTTTCATTAGGCCGTTTTACCGACACGGAATCAGTGTCTCGTTTAACGAATTACAGGAATTCCGAAAATCATTTTCTACCATATTTTTTTTAATCAAAATTAACTCACAAAATTTCAGGTTTGTCTGTTTTGTTTACTTACGCATTATTGCCTTTCAAAAAGGCATGAGTCCGCCTCCCTCTCCAGTTATGGGTTAAATAGTAGAATAGGCTGGCATTTCTAGTCCAGCCTAAGAGAAAGAAAATTCTGAATTCTAAACTATGTAGAAAGTTACGGAAAAATCACTCCACTATCTTTCCAAATAATTCAGGGAAATTCACAGATAAAGAAAAAGGATCACGTGGAGAGCTGTGATCGCCTACGTCATGAATGAATATGGTATAAAAAATAACTTTAAAAAATATGTAATCTGTTTTTTGTTTTTTTTTTTTTGTATTTTATTGTGCGAGAGAACCGAGGCAGGTATAAAAAAATAAAAAAAACGTTTAGGTCGTTGCATGCTACTGGTTGCTTGCATATGAATTTGCAGCCTTTAAAAAGTTGATCTTGATGTTTATTTCGTGCTATTGACTACCAACTGGAATATGTGGATATCCGCTTCAACGGTCTAGACCAAGGGGGTTCTAAATCGGATATACGTGAACCTGGTGGTACACGAGAGCAATTCAAGGGGATGCACTTCACCTCGTCCGAAAAGAGTGCTGAACTGCTATGTTATATCAATTCTCCTGTATGACTGTAAATGCTGGACTATTAAGAGGAAACAATAGATTGACATGGTTCAGTCGAGAATTTTTTCTCTCGAAATTCCCCTTGATCTAGAAAACCTCGTTCCGCCAATATTGAGTTTTTCAAAAGAGTAGCTGAGGGAAATACTGAACAAACTACATGTGAATTAACAGAAGAAACAGTTCAATAGAACTCAGACTTCGATCATAAAAAAAACTTGGTCAATGGTTTCCTCGTCATCTGTCTGCTTTTTCATCGATTTTCTTCTATTATAAGTAGTTTAAATCCGATCCTGTATGTTGTATGAATTCAAAAAGCGCTCAAAACGGAAGTGGCGGCAAAAAATATTCATTCTGTCTATAGAAATGATGTTTTCAAATGTCCGGATACCGAAACAATGGTTTGGTTAGATTCATTCAGGAATTTTTTTTTTCGAAGATTCCATTAGTTCTTGACGACCAGGTTCTGTCACAATCGAGCTTCTACAAAGTATATTTTAGGAAAATCATTAGGAAAAAAACTGCAGAGAATTAGAAAATCAGTTTAATGCAAGTCACATTTCGAATTTCAATCGTCTTCATGACCTCCGAAAAATGTCAATGGATCTTTCATCACTTGTCTGCTTTTCAGCTTAATCAAAGAGTTGTCCTCTTCTCGTCATTAAAGGATAGACATGCTATCAAATTATTCCTAGACAGAATCATCACCAGCAAAGAAACAAATGGTTCTCTATAAACATCACTTTGAGCCGGAAACAATCCATGCAGTGGAAACACCCTACCTCACCTGCTCCATAAAAGACCAAGGTCGTTTCATGTGCAGAGAAGGTGATGGATTCAGTTTTTTGGAATGCAAAAGACATTGTATTTATTGACTATCTTCAAAAGGGCCACACCATCACTGGAGAGTACTATGCCAACTTGCTGTGGCAGTTACGAAAGACTATCAAGACCGAACACCCAGGAAAACTGATGAAATGAGGTTTGTTTCATCAGGACAATGCATTAGCACACAACCCCTGGTTTCAATGCCTGCTGTGCTTGATTGTGACTTTTGAACTGGTTGATCACACACTACTGATTTTAGCCCTATTTGACTATCATCTGTTCCCCAACATGAAAAACCACTTGGCGTCAGTGATGAAGGCGCCATATGTCCTGTTGACTTTTTTACCAAGATGAAAAATTCTTTCCTGCAACACCGATGGAAGAAGTGTGTGAACCGCAAGGGGGACTATGTTGAAAAAATAAACTTCATTTGTTTACATTCCATGAGAGGATATTGGTCAGCCTAGGAACTTCTCAGCCGACCCTAATATACAACAGTTTGCCCCATTATAGTCGATAACCGTCGACCTTATAAGTTCGTCCGCCCGTAGGTTTTGATTTTAATCCTGCTGGTTGTCTAGCTATCATCCTCACCAGAAAAAAAAAACTTATAGGAGAACGGGTTTAGTCGCCGATGACCCGAGGGATCGAGAAGTAGTACTGGGTTATATGATACCAGTACCACTCGTAGAATAACCTGACATAAAGAAATAACACGAAGAAATGTGTAAAACCTGTAAAAAAATGACATTAAAAGATAAATCAATTACAGACAGTAAAAGGCTTCCTATAAGCGAAGTCTTAACATTAACTAATGATAACACCAATAAACATTTAGAGAATGATGACCTCAAGGCTGAATATCAGTGATTCTCAGCGTGGTCCAGATAGACCACCGGTGGTCCACATAGCATTTCTAGTGGTCCACAGAGAATTGGTCACCATAAAAAATTGTAGCCATTTCTTTCCCTACCACATGAATGGCGGAATCTGGATTTTCGACTGTTGTGGATGTTTTCAGTAGAAAAAGAAACAAATCAGATCTCAACCTGCAGAGGAACTTTCAGACTAAGACTGTATAGCACCATCGAAATTGATTATGATATCTTACGTCAGAAACACCATGAGAGTCAATAGTTGAATGGACTAAGACTGACTGACATCATCAAAATTGATTTTCATAGCCTTTTTTTTATCCTTGTTTACTAAAATAAATTTTAAAGTGTAAATAGACTACTTTGTCTTTTCATTGAATATTTTAGTGCGAAAATTGAACAGCCTGAAAGTAAAAGTAGGAGAGGTCCATTTGAATTTTTTGAAGAAGAAATGGTCTATGGGCTGAAAAAGGTTGAGAAGCACTGCTGTATATGATTCCATCGAAATTCATTTAGTTTTGTAAGTAAAAAACGACCAAAAATCTACCGACGTCGAAATCCAAAGGTACAAACAGAGCAAGAAGTCTTCCAGAAACTAATAAAATTTGATTCATTGATTTCTTTTTTACCGTTTATCAAACGCATTGCAGGTTATTTAAAGCCAGAAGATATTTTTAGATTGTAAAAATCTCTCTCTCTCTTTCCATCCCTCTCTTTCTTTTCACCTCTCTCTTTCTTTTCACGCCTCTCTTTCTTTTCACCTCTCTCTCATTCTTTCACCCCTCTTTCTTTCCACCCTCTCTTTCTTTCCACCTCTCTCTTTCTTTCCATCCCTCTCTTTCTTTTCACCTCTCTCTTTCTTTCACCCCTCTCTTTCTTTCTACCCCTCTTTCTTTTCACCTCTCTCTTTCTTTCCACCCCTCTCTTTCTTTTCATCTCTCTCTCTTTCCAGAGATTGCGTGCGTACTTATTTATATTTCAGCTTTCTTAAAAAAAAAAACAAAAAAAAAAAACAATATTTTAAATATTTTTAAAATATTTGTTGCCATATTTAAAAAATATTTTCAAGTGAATATGATTTTAAAATATTTTGGGGCACATTAAATAATTGTTTTAAGTCTGATTTAAAAAATATTTTAAGTGAATAAGATTTAAAAAATACAAGTTGTTTAAACAGTAAGTATTTTTATTTCAACTTTCTTCAAACAGATAAATTTTAATGTTGAAATCAACTTCCGTGTTTTATAACATGAACCGTCTGTGACCCAACGGGTCACGGGTAGTCTAGCGTAATATATAGCTTCCTTTATGGCAGTGAATGCTGGACAAAGTTTTCACAGATAAAGAAAAGAACTTGCAGTGACAGGGATAATATT